CTTGAGCAGCTGAAGGACAAAGGTATGTGACAGCCAGGTACTGAAATAGTCACTGCCAATTCTTTTACAAGACCTTTAAAGTTATCGCCGCCAGCACCAGGTACTTCATCCACAGGCTCTAAACACATCTTATCAAACACTGTTGACATCCAAAGTCTACCACCTTGCTCTGACTCGACATCCGTATATATACCGGGGGAGGTCAAATCTGCTAAGATTTGTTCTGACAAGGAGGCTATTGCTGCCTGTAAGTCTCTTGGTCTGAAAAATATGGAAATTGTTGTGGAAGAGAGTGCGACGAAAGATGGTGGGCTACATATGGACCCGTTGACTCCGCCTGTGGTTCGGATGAGGCAAATGGGCGCTATTTGCTATCTAGACTGAGGGATCCTTCCATATTAAAACCTATTGGGTTATTCCTCGCTTATCTCCATGATTAACCCTCAAGTGTGTGTTTTGAAGGGCACACCAACACCAGCATCAAATTATTTATGGCCTCAGAGGGACTTCCTAGTAACGCGGATTCCCTGCGTAGGCTATATTATCGCTTCCACAACGTCTATGGTATTGACTCAGCTAAAGTGGATGCGGATTTTTCTGCCTTCAGGTCCTTCTTTTCGACGAAAAAACTTCAACAGCTTCAGATAATTAGGGACAGTCATACCAAGTATTTCTCCAATGGCTCTCCAAATAAAAATATGTTTTTTAGGTGAAATGACGCTAGCAGAGGATCAAGCACCTCTAGAAAGACTAGAAAAACTAGACGATAGCAAGCTTAGTGTTTTTTTTAATTAATATTCAGTCCTTAAGACATAAAACGGATGAATTATATTTTTTATTAGAAGAGCTCAATTTTCCAGAAATTGTTGCCATAAATGAACATTGGTTAAATATGGATGAGCCTGTATTTGTCAAAAATTACACTACAGTAGCATTTAGATTCAATAGAAGTAACTCATCTCATGGAGGTACTATGTCTACTAAAAACGACTTTTCGACAAGTTCGATACTCTAATATCCGAAAAAAAAATTGAATTTTCCGTCGTTTATCATAATGCTTTTGACCTCTATATTATTTGTATTTACAGAACACCTGACGCTGACGTGCATATTTTCAGTCAAAAACTGCTAAGCTTGCTTGAATCCCTACCTATAAAAAGTAAATTAATTTTGTGTGGCGACCTAAATATTGACTTTGCAGTGTGTGTGGTGTGCAGCTAGGGAGTCTCTCCAGTCCATTTTTGTGTGATTTTTTTGGTATACTCATGCATAATTGACTAACCAACTAGAATAACTAAAACTGGTTCTAGTACTATATAGACTATGTCGTGTTGTTTTTTGACCCGGAATTCGTTGACTGTAGAGTCCTTCGCCCAGATTTCTCTGATCATGAGGCAGTATTGACAAAGTTTTTGCCAAAATCCAAATATCGGTGGTTATGGTAACCACCTGGCCGGACACTGGCAAGCACTGTCCGACTACTAACAAAGAGCACTTTTATCACTTAAAAAAGCATAATTAAAATTATTGGTAGGTTTATGAAAAAATCTGTTATATTTAACGTGAAGCCATTGGGAAATGAAATTTTATGAAATAGATAATGTGGTTATTAAACCACACTATTTCATAAAATTTAATTTCCATGCCACCAAAAAGAAAATTTAATCAACTATTTAAACTCAGCTTTTTCAAAACTGTCCGACCTCTGGCTAATTTACCCTATTTTAACAAATTATAGTTCATATATCGCTGCTGTTATATTTATTAAATTTACCTGTTATTTGGAGAACAAATATATTCAGAAACTTTTGCCAAGGAGTAGTAATAAATTTTAGTGTAGAACTGGATTGTGTCATTTATTATGTTGATTATGTTGTATTTATGTTGAACAAAGAATCATCAATGAACAATAATTGCTTTTTTAAATCTAAGTAAATATTAAAAGTATCCAGAAATTAATAACTACTTTATATATACTTTTTGGAGACTCTTTTTAAGATTGACAAATTAAGAACACAATTTTACGTTATTTTTCAAACTCATATTTTGATCTATGCAAAAAGGTTTACAAGTTACTTCATTATCCTTTTACTAATAACCTACTACAACTCAAACAGTTTCATTTAGATAAATTATTGGAAAATTAAAAAATCCATTTCATATAAGATTCTACATCAAAGCTTAGTATTCAATTGTAATAGATTAGTATTTGAAAATAAATTACATTGTAGGGCTTAACTATGTCATTAAAATTCAATTTTGATATCAAAGAAATATTTTCTCCAAAATTAAGAATATTGTTTGCAATCATATACTTATCTAAAAATTCTGTTTTTAGATAATGGTTGATAGTAGAAGGGTGAAAATTTAGGGTTGTATGTATTTTTAATGCCACATCATAAAAAAATAAAAATAAAAAATTGTGTCCAAAAATAAAAGAAAAAATTGGAGTAACTTAACACTTAAATGTATAAAAATAGATAACAACACTTTTATCAACTGCTTTTATACAGGGTGTCCCAGAAAGAAGTGCAAATATTAAGGGGTGGTAGATCTCGATAAAAGAAACATATTTTCTCTTTATCGTTTTTCAAATAAGTCCAAAGTAACGGAGTTATTTTACTTTGAAAATTTCCAAAAAAAAATATTTTTTGCTAAAATTTTGAGAACCACTGGATTTTTTCTGGATTTTCTTTCTTGTAAATTTAATCTAATACTCATGTTGCCATATTATCAAGACATTATGGTTTTTAACTAAAAACTAAAAAAAATTCCAAAAAATTTTTCAAAAAATTTCGAATTTTGAACGCGTGTTTCTGGGGTTGAACTATACTACCAGTTAAAATATTTGCACTTATTTCTGGGACACCCTGTATAGCCAAGGATGCAAGTGTATTCAGTGAGAAATTAATTTTAAGTTTGGGCACACACACAATTATGTATTTTCTACTTTTTTTCGTTGGACTTTCTAAATAGTCGTAAAAATAACTAGAAAGTGTTTGGTTTGGTTTGGTAATATAAAGGTCCCTGAATTATCTTTTCATAGGCAAGTAAAGTATTCAGTTGTTCTTTTATGTATATTAAACCACATGCATACTTTCTGGTTAGATTTCCTAAGAATTTATTTAGCAAAAAAGTAAAATCACCGCGTATGCAACAAAAAAAGAAGATAAATGGAAGTCGTTGATATTATGTTTGCGACCACTTAAAAAAAATATAGACTACACTATTTACATCTAAACGCGGTCAAATCATTTTTGTACAAATGTTTACTTCTGGGTACATGTTTTGTTCTAAGATTATTAGTGGACTGTAATAGGTATGAGTTTAAAGAGGTTTTGAACTTTTGACACTTTTATTTATTATTTTTCAACGGCGATCGGGCGGCCTTGTGTCTTACTTGAGTTTTGTCTATAAACTGATACTTTCGTCAGCTGAGCGCGGTTGCCTAATTGCTTGATTGTCTGGTAGATGTCGTTAAATCAATTTAAAATAATTTACAATAAAAATACAGAAACTAGACATGCCGCCGACCTTGAAATAATACATTGTTTCAACAAAATACAAACTAAATTATAATCTGATACATTAACATGAATAGAGATCATGAATTCCAACAAATACAAAATAATGCTTATTGCTAATCATATTCCATAGGTAAAGGAACGACCTTTGTTATCGCACGTTTAAAAATGCCATTTTTGGTGCGCACTGACACAACACGCACTAAATTATCACTTCCGGGATGAACAGACACTATACGTCCCAATGGCCAACGCATAGGAGGCTCGTTGTTGTCTTTCAGCAACACTAGGATGCCTTCCTTAACGTTTTTCTTGGCGAGTTTGCCATTTGGGCCTCTGTTGTAATGAATTCAAATAGTCTTTACTCCATAAAGACCAAAAACGCTGTACGAGCTGTTGTAGGTGCTTGAAGTGACGTAATCGATTGGCAGGAATATCAATGTCGTTCGATTGAGGGACTGCGATTAAACTTTCGCCGATTAGAAAATGTTCGGGCGTAAGAGCTTCGAGGTCGGAGAGGTCATTAGTGAGGGGTAAAATTGGGCGGGAGTTTAAGATTGCCTCTATTTGAGTTAGTAGTGTGTAAAAATTTTCAAAATTTAAATGATTATCGCCGAGAACACGCTTTAAGTGATGTTTAAACGAACGAACTGCAGACTCCCAAGTACCACCATGATGAGGCGATTTGGGTGGAATAAAAATACCACGTTATTCTATGCTCTGAGAAATAATTCGGGTATTTTTCGTTAACTGAATCTCGCACAACCTGGCATAATTTAAGCAATTCGTTATTCGAACCTACGAAGTTAGTCGCGTTGTCGCTAAATACATGACCACACAAACCACGACGAGAGACAAATCTTTTAAAGGCATTCAAAAAACCTTCTGTGCTAAGGTCGGTCACGAGCTCAGCATGAACGGCACGCGTACTAAGGCAAATAAAAATACACACATAAGCCTTAATTTTAACTCTATTCCGAGTTTTACCATCTTTTAGTAAATAAGGCCCAGCGTAATCGACACCACAATAATAAAAAGGGCGAGAAGGTACGACTCTTGGTTTAGGTAAAGACCCCATTAATTGATTAATGTCGACTGGTTTGACGCGGAAACAAATTAGACATTTTCTTACTATCTTTCGGACCTCATTTCTTCCGTTGACTATCCAAAATTTGTCTCGAATTTGGTTTAATACAAACTGCGGGCCTGCGTGTAAAAATATAACATGGTAATAATTAATAATTAAATCGACAAAACAATGTTTAGCGGGTAATAAAATAGGGTGTTTTCGGTCATATTTTAAGTCCGAATTTTTCAATCGACCGCCTACACGTAAAATACCTTTATTGTCTATAAAAGGATCAAGACTTATAAGTTTGCTATTTTTTGACAAGATTTTATTGTTTTTTAAAGCCTTAATTTCTTCTGAAAATCGTTCCGATTGAATAATTCTACAAAGAGTTAATAAAGCCTCATCTAATTCTGAAAAGTAAGAATTCCGGTTAACTTGCTATTAGATTTTAAATTATGAAAAAATCGGTAAATATAAGCGACGATACGGATTAGTTTCGGATACGAAGAACATCTAGAAAATATTTCGTTTTCGAGAACACTTTTAACAGCGGCGAAAGAAACCTCTATGTTTTCTTTTCTTACATCGGAAATTGATATTTTGATTTTCTTGGTATCAGGCCATGTTTCGGGCGCTGTTTTCAAAAACGACGGTCCGTACCACCAAAGTGCTTGGTTTTTTAATTCAAGTGGGTCGGCACCCCGAGAAACTATGTCTGCTGGATTGATTTCTGTATTTATGTGGCTCCAGGTAATATCGGCGGTAAGACGTTGGATTTCCGCTACCCGGTTACAAATAAAAATAAAAGTTTTCCACTGGCTAGGCTCTGCATTAAGCCAGTCCAATACGATGGTTGAGTCGGTAAACAGGACAGTATCGTTTACAGGGAAATCTAAAGCTTTTATTGTTTTTTCTAATAAACGAGCTAGTAAAAGTGCACCGCACAGTTCTAATCGAGGTAGGCTCATGGAACTTGACGTTAAAGGAGCTAACCGAGATTTCGCGCATATTAAGTGTGACTCGATTTCGTCACCGATTTCGCTAACTAAATAAATACATGCTCCATACGCAAGTTGTGAAGCATCGGAAAATCCGTAAAGCCTTTTGGGGTTTTTGAAAGACTGGCCTTTTAATACACAACGCGGGATTTGCAACGACTTTAAATTTGGTAATTTACTAACGAAATCTAACCATTCGATCGAAATATCTTCTGGAACATCGGTGTCCCAGTTCACTTTGGAAATCCAAATCTTTTGTAAAATCAATTTAGCTTTAACGATTACAGGACTAATTAAACCCAAGATATCAAAAAGCTGTCCTATCGCGGCTAAAACCGTTCTTTTCGTAATTTTGAAAGTATCGATTTTTATATTATAATTATATCCGATGGTATCCATACTAGGATTCCAAACTGTGCCTAACGTTTTCGTTTCGCCTTCTCCTGGTATACAAAAGTCTTCGTTTGGCGTATAGCCGGAAATTTCTAGAACGCGGTGATCATTGGAAATCCATTTTCGCAAATTAAATCCGAATTTCGATAAAATTTTGTTGATTTTTATTTTTAAGTCAATAGCTTTATCAAGGTCATGATGACCAAAAATTAAGTCGTCCATGTAAAAATTTCATGAAGTGCGCGAGTAGCCAAAAAAGATGCGCTAGCGGTGCCGTAAGTCACCGTATTTAACTGATAATGGATTATTTCCTTAGTTTCATTATCTCTCCAAAGTATACGCTGTAAACTACGTTGTGACTCGTCGATCAATATCATTCGATACATTTTTTCTATATCCGCGACGATTAATATTGGATAAGTACGCATTCTTAATACGACGTCAAAAACATCCCGTTGAACTTTCGGTCCGACTTTTTAACACGTCATTTAAACTAAGCCCAGAATCAGTTTTTTAAACTAGCGTTGAAGACAACTCGTACCTTTGTAGTACTACTACTCCTTTACGACAGCGTGATGGCTCAAGCATACGCACACCTTTCCAGGTTGATCTAATTCCCGGATTAATTTTCGACATGTGTCCTAACTGCTTATATATCTGCTTAAAAATCCGCGTATTGTTGTTGTAAATCGGGGTTTTTTGCTAAACGTCGCTCTAAAGATAATAAACAATTTACGGCAATAGAGTAGGAATCGCCCAATGTTAAATAATTGTCTTTTAGCGGAAGTTTTACGATGAATCGCCCGTCGGAATCGATTTTGTAATTTTCCCGAAAATGTTTTTCACATTCTAATTCTTCGTTACTTAATTTATTTTGTTTATTTTCAATATTTTCTATTTGCCAAAATTGTTGAACGGGAAATTGAACGTTATTATGCAACATTTTATCGCGTTCTTGGTTTAAAGTTAAAAAACAATTAGTATTTGCGTTATTAGTGCGGTGGTTTGTCGTTAATTTATGTATATCTAAAGGTCCTACAAGAACCCAACCGAATTTGGTGTTCTGTAAAATCGGCGCGTTGTCTCCGAAGAGTATTTTTTCACTACTCAAACAACGGAAAAATATTTCGGTTCCTATTAAAATGTCTATAGGCTCTGAATTAAAAAAATTAGGATCGGCCAACGTAATATTTGCGGGCATATTTATTAAAGTAGGATCGAAAGAAACTTGCGGCAATTTTGTAGTAATCTGACTGATTACTAAGAATTCAATTTTAGCCTGGAACGCGTCATTTAACGATTTTATAGTTGTTTTAATTTTAGACGATACCCTACAGGACGCGTTATTTATACCTATAACCGGCATATTTATTTTGTTGCCTGGTAAATTTAATTTATTGCAAAGTTCTTCCGAACAAAAGTTTAATAGCGCGCCACACTTTACCGTCCTGCTGTTTGAATCTAAAATATTTACGTATGCTGTAGCAAGCAAAATCTGCTCGTCGTTTTCACCTTGGCTAGCAGCTGATGCCGTGGCGGGACTATACGGAGCATAGACTTAGAATAAAATATAGACTGAGCATCTCATTCATAAATAGCTGGAAGATGCGGACAGACAACGTCTTGTTATTGTTGTGTTATTGTTTTTGGCTCTAACGAGTGCGACACGAGCGATAGATAGGCTGTCTCCGTCGTAACGGTCGTTTCCTGACGGCTCTGCCGCCCAACGCAACACTGTCTTTTGTTTCTTCAGTGCACCTGCACTCTCCGTATCATAGGCGGGTATTTTTTTTAATTTTAATGAAGCTATAATTCAATTAAAAATATATCGTATTTAAACTTTTTTATATTATTAAGATTTAGGATAAAGAAAATAGTTTAATATAAAGCAAAGTTTAGGACTTAGAAAAAAAAATACGTCTTAGAGTCTAAAAACGATAAAAATAATAAAGTACGTGTTATAGAAGAAATTTTAATAATCGAAATTATTTAATTTTTGAAATTGATGATAAATTATTAATTTAATAAAATATTAATTTTAGTCAAACATTTACAACTCTAATATTAATCAAAACAGGATCTATTCTATAGATATAATAGAACAGAAAGAGAAAAAACTTTATAATTGTTTAATTTTTTTTTCCGGTAAAAGTGATGTCTTATTATGTAAATTAGAAAAAACAGGAATCTGTTCCATTAAAGCAAGCTTTTAGGAAGTGAATAAAATGAAAACTACATTTATTTAACTCGTTACTGTCTTTATTATAGAGTAAGTATAATAATGGTAATGGTGACTATACTTTATTCAATGGAAATATGCACCAAATTCAAACAAATATAAAAGGCATGAGTATAAACAGTATTACTACAGTAATATTGAACATTGGTTCAAAAATATTACATTAATATAATACAATATTACTGTAGGTATTACTGTCAACGTGCAAGCTTGTTTGAAGCTTGATGTATTTGTATGCGCTTGGTACATCTTGGCGTTGGAAAATGTATAGAAAATTATTAAGAAAAACTAGTACGTAATGGGGGATATCTTGATATACAGAGTGGTCGGAATTGTATTCAGGAAACTTTGGCAGCATAATCTGCAAATAAAATCAGTAAAAAAAATAGTATAAATTTATGTCCTAAAATGCTTCGTTTCAGAGATACAGAGTGTAGAAATTTCATTTTTATTTCGCTTTTTTCCAAATAATTTATGAAGAATGTATTGATTAATTCGTTTCCAAATATCTTGAGAACTATACTTGTGGCGAGTGTCAACAAGAGACCTTATTAAGTAAAAAACGTTGGAAATGTAAATTTTTCTCAGTAGTTTTATATAGATACAGACAAAAAGTATTACTCTTCAAATAACTTAAAAAATATGTAGGTGGCGCCCCCTATTAGTAAAAGTCAAATTGACATCTAAATCTAATTTTTCATGTCAAAAAACTCCCAAACGCCAATTTTCGTCCAAATATTGACGTCACTTCAGAAATTATTTGGAAAAAAATCGAAATAAAAATGAAACTTCTACACCCTGTATCTCCGAAACGAAGCATTTTAAAAACTTACAAGTTCATTTTTTTAGAAAGCCAATGCAACATTTCTGAGTTTCAAATAAAGATAAAAAACAGTAAAACATATAATAATAATATGTAAATTATTTTCTTGGATACATACATATATGGCAAATAATAACAGATTGTTTTATTAAAGATTTACGTTTTGGTTAATTCTAAAACTATCTTCAGATTATATGTGATATTACTTAAGTGATATTACATTATAAAAGAAAAAATGAAAATTATACCTTATAATCGAAAAAAAACGGCGTCAGCGATGGCTATGAAATGAAGATCGCTGTCATTTTATATGTAAAATTATATGGAGTATGTATCGATGGTTTTTTCCAAGCCAACTGGACGCCGTTTTTTTCGATCATACGGTATTACAAATTAATAATAGATTAACAGTCGAGAAAAAAAAAGAAAAAACTCTAGGTAAGTACTGGATAAATTTTAAAATGGCATATTTATTTTATCTTTGTTTAATATAAAAAAAACGAAATATCTACCTGGTTTACATAACCCTGTATAATTTGTGAAATAATAATGGACAAAAATGCAAGCGGTAAGAAAAATATTTACAAAAAATATGTACTTGTTTACATTTCTGGACCATTGTTCGTCATTTTTGTTATCATAATGGTGACCCTATCATAAAAACGTATGTTATCGACGCCTATGATCCTTATGATAGGCAGTCGTTTTCACGCCGTGCCTGCACCCCGTGTCCGCTGATGTTGGGAGTAGCGGAGTAGTAGGCTTTGGAAACAGTTGAATGTCAGAGGTTGTTGATTTCGGCCCAGAGAAGACATTGTTTGTCAAGCTAGTTAGAATTATATTTTTAAATATCAATTTCTGTTAAATATATTAATCTCCCGATTACATCAGAAGTGGCGATGAGTTTAATCCAGCGTTCTTAGGCCGTAACGGCGTATTTCTGACTTACTGACGACTATTGACTTGACTTTGACCTTTGAGACTATCGTTTAGTAAAGGCGTCGCGTCGCGTCGGTTTCGAGGATCTATTCGGTCGTCTCAGATACGGGTACCCGTCGCCGTCGGTTTTCGGATACCGACGTCGGATCGGCGAAGCGCGAAAAGAAAACCGGAGGGATCATTCTGCTAGTTCTAATGCTCGAAGATATTAGCGGAAAAAAATGGAATGCTGGAAAGAAGGGTCATATCACCCCTGCAAGTTACAGACTCCGGAAGATAACAGGAAAAGGTAGTGAGCCAACACATTATCTGAACAAATCTCTTCTAAAAGGCATTTTAAAAATGGCTAGAAAAAAAAATCGAGATAAATTAGGTAATTACGAGATAAATTCTAAGGTAGTATTTTTATACAGTAAAAATTGTTGCTATGGAGACAGATTTGAGTTTAAAGTAATTGTTCGGATTTTTCGATTTCGGATTTCGGTGATATAAATCGCCTTGTGGTTCAAGAGGTCTCGAAGAGAGGGCGCTACCGTAGTCGGTTGATAACAGGGGGGTGACAGTAAACCGGAAAATTGGAAACAGTTCTGGCGCGGTCTTACCCAGGCAGAAAGCATGGCCTTCTAGACTGTCCTAGACAAAAATCTGAATATTTCTATATGATTTCTGTCAATTTCAATTACGGAACATTTTTATGCACGTCGGCGTCCTCTTCTTTTGTCTGTGTGTCAGCCATGTGTCAACTCCCGAGGCCTCTGGCAAGGTCGAGCGCCATTTTAATTTTTGCCGTTTAGATTTGATTGGAAGTTTGTTTATGATATTTCGGCTGAAATTTATAAGTACAAAGATGTTTTTTGATATAAAGTTCCTTGTTAACACTTTAATAAAGTATATATGATATTAATTACATGAAGAAAATGATGAAATCGACGTTTCTGCGTGTAATAGGTATGGGCCATATTATATATGTAAAAATAGGTAATATATTAACTGTTTTTATATTTTTTTAGCTTTAAACCCAAGGATCTTGGGATATTCTTTGGCAAGGATTTTTCCGTATCTCTACTTTAAAGACTGATCGGTGATTTTGAGCAATTGAAAGCAAGTTATACAAGGTAAATTATGATTATTGAACTATTATTAGCCTACATTAATTTTCTACAACATGAAGAGAAATGCGTAATTACATATCACATAGGTACCTATTATGTATTTTCATAG